CATGCTTCCCAGAGAACCAAGGGGGAGAAGGGGAGGAGGGAAGAAGCACGAGTATCAAGGTCAAATTCTAAATTTAACCTTTTAAACCGACCTGTCCTTCCCTGACACTTTCTCTCCCAAGAAGATGAGAGACACTTTTGACTCACAAAGGCGAACATTTGAAAGTATCCGTGTTTAACGAGATGGTACCACGATTCGCTTCCACCTTCACCATCTTTTTTGAAGCCTCCTAGATTCTAGACAGAAAAACGCAGAGAGCCATTTCCTTGACATGACAGAAGACAAAGAGGTAGCGATACGCTCCCGTTTATGAGTTAGGTCAGCCGCGTGTGGGTCGGTCACGGCTGGTGGTTGAGGCCAGTCCGACGATAAAAAACATGCCTGGAGTCATAGCACAGTGGGATTGGAAGGGGCCCTAAGAACCGTCATCAAATTCAGCCCTCACTTCCGGTTCGAGCGCCTTCCCACGTCACTGGCAAGAGGGTCCACACGGGATGCGTTTGGACAGATCCAATTTTTAGACCTCCCTTTGGTGTGTTAGCCCTAAATAGGCTTTTCAGTGGGAAGGATAATGTTTAAAGAGAAAATTACAAACTAAAAACCCTTCAATTAGTAAGTATACAGTGTGGCTGTAAAGCTGAGCTGAAGTTTAAATATGGACATGGAAGAATTAAGTGACGGACATATGATACTTGGGCACTGAGAGAGAAACGCAATGGACGCCGACGGCAGGACCAGAAAGAGCCGAGCCCCACGGGGAGGGGGTGGGGGGCTCCGCTTCGGCCAGGCCGGCTCCCGAGGCAGCGGCTGCCGGAGCCCTTTTTACTGCCGCTGAATTGGAAAGCGGGTTCCCTTCCACTTGGGGCTGTCGCTACGATGAGGACTGACCGCCTCTAACACACTGGGGTGAGCCATTACCTGCCGGAACAACTGAGGGCCGAGAGGGAAACGGCCGGCGGCCGCGGCGTGCTCGTGCGCAGACCGGCCTGGCTCTGCGTGTGAGCGTCCGCCGGCCGGCCAGCGCGGTCCCCTCCTGCCCCAGTCCACGCACGCATGGGGCCCAGCTGCATCCACCTCAATGCCCCCAGGGAGGGGCTGTGCACCCAGGAAGTTCAAAAATTAGTCACTATGGCTCTCATTTTAACTATTCTAGGCATTTCCAGAGAAAAAGAAACTCCCATGCTAGTCTAAAATACAGGAAAACCTCAGCTCTCAAACTGATGAGCCTTCAAGCCAACCAGCCCCCTGTGGCCAACTGTGCGCTGAGTCCTCAGTCTTCTCCAAACCGCCCGCGGCCCCCGCGCAGCAGGCCGGTGCCCGGTCTCGGGCCTTTGCCCGTGCGGGTCCTGGAGCCTGGACCATCACTCCCTCACCCAACCCTCCCTGAACACTCAGCTCAGAAGGCCTCTCCTCAGCACAGCCCCGCGGTCCACCCGCTAGGCCGGGCACCCCGGGCAGCTCCCGGCGGGCTCCCCGCCGCACCTCTGCCACTGAATTTGCCGCAGTGCACTGAAATGACCCATCTGCCCCTCCGCAGGGCCTTTGCCCGGGCCTGGAGACGGGCCTCGTCATCGCCGGCCTGGTTCAACGCCTGGCATAGCGCAAACCCTCAGCGAGTGGCCGGAGAACAGGACGGGAGTCTCATGGACCCCCTAGATGGCTGAGTGCTAATATCCATTAGCAACTTCACATCAGGAGAAAATCCAACTTAGCATTATTTTTGAGAGAAATAGAAGAACGTTTTGGTAAAATGCTTCCTTTCACTTTAAAATATATCTTAGTGAACAAGGCCTTGACATACAATTAAACTACTTATGAAAAGGCAACCCCCAAAAGAATCTCATTTAATGAATGTTTATGTCCACTAACTTTGATACATAGTTTGGAGCTATCTCTTAGCTTACAAGTCAAAATTCAGGCTTTAAAAATAGATTAATGTTAAGGAAAAAAGAAATTATGTCTTTACAAAATGAATCTCAAACCATGAAAAAGCAACTCCGCCTTTGAAAAATGAATCTCAAACCACGATGCTCTGCAGGAAGGGCCAGCTCTGCAGGCCCGGAGTCTCCCTCAAGGCCAGCTTGCGCTCAGCCCGCAGACCACGGGAGCGAGGGGCCTTCCCGGGGGGCCCGGGGTCCACGTAAATCATGCCGCTGGTGGCCTTTGGAGGGGCTTACGCGGATGCAGGGCTACAGCGACTATCTCACTACACGGTGCCGTCAGAACCACACGGCTGGGGAGAAGGGAAGCATCATATTTGCCTGCGAGGAGCAGCAGACCTCGTCCCCCCGCGCTCCCTGCCTCAAGGTGCCATTCTCAGGCCGTGCTCAAAAACAGTCCGTCCTCGAAAATTCTTCTTTTAGATTCTCTTGCTCACACCTCGGCTCTTCCAACCGCCTGGGAGGACTAAAGTGTTTTGTGCTTGGAGCATTCGAGATCTCTGAAGATCCCTTCCGGTTTCATGATTTTATGATTCTTTGAATAATTCAAACCATCACGTGAGAAATACACCGTGGTTGATTGACTTTGTATAAAAAGACACATGACACCAAGGACTTGCTGTGAAACCACTTTGGCTGCTGTGGAGACACACCCAGGAGTTAAAGGTCCCAGGATCTTCATTTCTTTGGAGGAACCGAGAGCTCGTGGTGTGTCCACTGAATTTGTTCTGTGTTCTCTAAAGAGAGAACACCCGCGGGCGCGTGAAGTGCAGGTCTGCCGCCTCCCCACGCAGCCCTGCCGGGCTTTGCTTGCCAGAGCTGCTTATGGTGGATAGAACAAAAATGCATGTAAGATGCAAATCCGCTAGAGCCGAGCCAGAACCACGACAGCTAACCTAGACAGGGGGAAGGGCGAGCGTGGGCCAGCTTCGGTGCGAAGAACCAAGGCTCGTTTCCGCAACTTGCGCGGATGACATGGCACCCGGGAGACCCCCAACACCAGCACATGTGTCTCTGAGGTGCAAAAATGGCGGAGAGTCAATGTAAATTGCAAGAATTCACAGTATTACCAACACGTGCAATGGGCTTGCTATGCGCGTCTCACCGAACCCAAGCACCCACTCACAGGAGGACAAAGAGAGCCGAGCAATAGGTACTCCGATGTATCTGCGGTTTATAATAGCCACGACTCTCGTCACCAACGAAGCGTCAAGTGGTTTAATCTCCGAGTGGCTCTGTGGGCTGGGGCACGGCCACGCTGGCAGGGAGATGAGGACAGTGAAGTAAGTGCAGGGCCACAGACAGAGCCACCGGGGTGTACCTGCGGGCCCTCCGGGGACCCTCAGCGTCCCAAATGGGGGGGGGGTGCGAGGTCCCCTAGAAGGAAGTCAGATCCTCGCCAGGTGTGCGGGGGCGGCGGGGGTCGGGGGGGCGACCCACTGCCTCTCCAGCTCTAGCTCCTCCTCTGTGCAGAGAGGCACGTGCCAGAGGTCAGGGCGGGAGCACAGCGCGCCCCAGGTCCGTTACTCATTTCCAGTGGAGTTCGCCATTGTGTACCACTTAGGAACGGCTGCAGGTTCTAGTAATAAATTACACGATAGATGCCTGAATATTTTACGTTGAATTCCCTTTTTGAAGCTCTCTCACGAAGCAATCACGCAGAAAAGGCTCAGGTGAACTTGCAAGCACGACGGCAAGCAAGGGTAGTGCCCGAGGGACGCTGGGAATCGCTTCCGTGCGCGCGCGCGCGCGCGCACCGCCTCCGAGGGTGGTCCCGCGCGCAGACCTGGCCTGGCGGCTGCGAGGCAACTGTCGCGGTACCGTGGCCGATGAGGCCCGCCCCTGGGCCCTGCCTTCCCAGCTGCAGCAGCCCCGTCCTCTCCAGGAAGCTCCACCCCCGGGCAGGGTGAGGGGTGGTCCCCACGTGTGGCTGGTAGTGTGGTACTTCTCTTGGTTAGAAAGAAAAGGAATTAATGATCACGAGGGAAAAGAAATTGCTTTCCAGAGAAAGAGAAAAATATAGGGAGGATTTAAAATACTACCGCCAAAAAATTGTCAAACCAGAAGTGAACAAGACACTGGAGCAGGGCTCGGATAGGACGGGCAAGCCCTGGGCCTCGGCTTCTGCAAGGTTTCTTCTGCCTGGCCACCCCCAAGGGACAGCGGGGGCCCCGCGAGGCCCCGGGGCGGGGGCGCTGGCAGGGGCAGCTTGTGGACAGTGCCTGGAGTGGGAGGGGGGGCACACAGCACACGCTCGCCCACTCGGGTTCTGTTTTTATAGGTGAAAATAAGATTTTTAAAATGGACTGCAATATCCAGGGTTCAGTCATTACAACGTAAGAATGTTTCACTGTATCCAATTTGATTGGATTCCTTTAAAGGAGAGTTCTTCAGGCGGACTTTCTAAAGTCCTTTTTTCACATTTCCAACAAGAACGCATCATGAGTTGTAGGACTTAGTAGTACCTTTTATGTCTCAGATCACAAAGTTTTAGGATATGAGCGCGTGAAGAGTTCTGGTTTTTAAGGAAAGAAAACACAGACGGGGAGGAATAGGGAGGATGCAATCTCACAGTAATGAACGTGTTCAAGTCAGAGGTGAGGTCGCCCAGAAAAACACCTCTTAAAACACTTTTTTTGCCCTGGCCGGGTGGCTCAGTTAGTTAGAGGGTCATTCTGATAGGCCCAGGTTGCGGTCTGACCTCTGGTCAGGGCACATCCAAGAATCAAACAATGAACGCATAAATTAGTAGAACAACAAATCGAGGTCTTTCTCTCTCTCCCCCTCTCAAATCGATTTTAAAATTTTTTTTTAAAATTAAAAACCAAAATATTAAAAAAATTTAATTAAAAAATTAACTTTTAAAATTAAAAACGTTAAATAAAGAAAACTTTGAAGGACACAGGGTTTTGTTTTTTCATTTTGTTTTTCACATGAGTGAGGGAGAGCTGTGTCAATAAAACCAAAACGCGAAGGCTGAGAAGGCTCCAGCTTAGAAATGACTGTTGAAGCTCTGAGTTGGGATAATCGACCTCTGTAATGACAACAGATGGGAACAACTTTCTCATAGCATTTTTTAATGTGTGTGTGTGTGGGGAAGACAGAAGAAACTGAGGCAGAAACACCAGGTCATTTCTACTCCAGAAGAACACGAGTAAGTCAGACATCACAGACCATTCTGCAGGTGATTTATGGAGTCAGTTGTAAGCCCACACGAGTGGTTTTTCCAGTCTCTCAGTTGAAGAGGATTTCTACGGAAGCAGCAATGCTGCAAATAAACTGTAAATACATGCACTTGGGTGGAAAGCAGACGAAGGGGAGGGCGGACAGACACACAGGGGACAGAGCTGCAGACCACAGGGTCCGTGCCTGGGGAAAAACGTGGATGCTGTTTTGTGATGACCAAAAACGCCCTGAACACATACTTCCCTCATTTCTCGGAAACACAAAGCAACAACCAAAATGAAGTTTTGAAAAATATAAAAATGAAACGCTCCCATAAAGAGTTTTCAGTATACTCAAAACAATGCAGCACAGCCAGGCTGTATAAACCATTTGTTAAAAAAATATCTTCTTTTAAATTGTGTAAATCGAAAGAGTCCCCTCCACGTGTTCATTCACCACTGTGTGCGCTAGCAATACGCAAACTCAGCTCGCTTCCGGGGCTTCTGTCTCCTCACTCGTCTGCTTCCCAGTCCCAGTCCCGGCCGGGCTTAGAACAGTCGCCTCTTGAGTAAACACGGCCTCTTGGGTGCCTGGGGGTGTCATCAAGACACTACGGGGGTCATATCCCACAGCTGGGGAGAGGAAAAGAGTGCGAACAATGAACTAAAGTTAAATGGTGCTCAGGATAACCGTCCTCATCATCACATTCAACTGAGTTTTTTAAGTGGACGAGCAACTAAGTTCTATCGCTAACATGATTCTAAAAACTTTAAAACAGTATTTTCCTTTAAAAGGTACAACAGAAACCTCAACAGCATGACTTCGGCCACTGGGAATTTTAATGGAGCAAATGGAGATCAAAAGCAGATTAGAGTCGCCAAAGGGGGAAGGGAACTAAGACGCAGAAGGCACCAAACGGGTACCTGGATGTGCTTTTCTGCATCTTAGCTCATTTTCTCTCCCAAGCAGTTCTACCAGGCGCCTCTTTTTCAGGAATAAAGCAGCTGAGGCTCCCAGAATTCACTTACTCAAAGGCACAGAGGCCGGGCAGCTTCCAAAGCGGGTTCCTTTGACCACTGTATCCTGCTGCCGCCTCTAAGAATCGACCAGAGCGGGCGGGGAAGCAGCGCTCAGTGCGCTGGGCAGGCCTGCGCCGGCCTGTCTTTCAGGGAAGGACGCGGGGCCCCCCTGCCCTGGAGCTCCGCTCTGGCACCGGGGCCGGCGGTCTGCCACAGGCCTCCTCGAGGCAGGCCCTGGAGGGGTGCTTGCGGGTTACCTGACCTAACGGGGGAAAGATCTTGTCCTTTACGTGCTGGCTCATTCGAGTCCTGCCATCATTCCGGGCTCATCTAAATCGCCCTCCTTCAGGAAGCCGCCTCCAACAGCATCGTCACTCTCGAGCGAACTCTTAGAGTAATTCTTGTCTGTATCGCTCTGTTGGCCGCTGCCTCTGTGACCTATTATTAACTGTCTTTTTAAGAGTATGTTCCAATGAGCCCTGGCCAGGCAGCTCAATAGGTTAGAGTGCCATCCCCACACACCGAAGTTGCAGGTTCGATCCCTGGTCAGGACTCATACAAGAAGCAACCAATGAATGCATAAATTAGTGGAACAACAAACTGATGTTTCTCTCTCTCCCCCTTCTTCTCTCTCTCTCTCTCTAAAATCAATCCATAAAAAAAGTAAAAAAAGAAAAAAGTACATCTCAACAGACTAGCTGTTCCTTGCTGGCAAGAGCCGTGTCTTATTTCAGTGTGCACAGACAGTGCCCAGCATGGGCTTTGTATGAAACAGGTTCTCAAACACGCCAGCTGCCAAGGGTAGCCTTCCGAGCAGGTTTCACACAGCCTTGGTGCTCCTGAATGTACAGTCACACCCTGGGAAAGGCCCTAAAATAAGACAGCACCCTACCTTAATAACCTTGTCAGTTCCTGAAGTCAGTAACCATCCTCTGGTTGCATCAAAATGCACATGCACAATGCTGTGTTTGCTGTCGTGGAAGGTAGCTGTGGGCGCGCGCCTGCAAGGAGCAGAGAAAGTTTCCAGAGTGAAAAGCCATGACACAGGAACAGAAACTATTTGGGGTGATGCTGAACTCTGATACTCTGATGTTGAGCTAAATGGCTGAAACTGCTTCAGTGGAGAAGCATTTACCTTCATTCCCTAGTGACCTGGCATGATTTTTCTTTTTTTAAAGTAGAAGATTCTTGTATTTTCCAAAATAAGAAAGAGATGATGACATTTTCAAAAGTCTCTCATAGATTATTTGTTGCTCTAGTGGAGTCTATGAAAATCTCTGTGTTTTTTACAAATTAACCACGGCCGCCAGAGTGTTTTGGCTAAGTTTGATCTCAGAAGGACTTGCTGTTAAAATAGTCTTCCAAACACTACGTTCTACTTTTTAATCTCTGCGGTTTCCAGTAAGAAGGCCTGCCAGCTGCCCTGGTGCTCTGAAGGCAATGAAAGCGCCTCTGCAGAGAAGAGAGGGGACAGGAACCTGGTGAAGGGGACAGCTTTTCTCTAATCCTGTGTCAAGGGGCCCGCCCCTCTGCAGCGGGTTGTTGGAACACGACTGTTTCTTTTTTTTATCTATAGCGACCTCTGGGGAAGAGATCTTCAGCATCCTAAAACTGGTTACTTTAAAACATTTAGAGTTAAAGATTTAGGTTTAGTTTGCAATCCCTTAGTTAGATCCTCTGGGTCTGTGTCTTTCTGTATAAAATAAAGAATTAAACTGGAGTATCTTTGAGATTACACACAGCTCCCTAACTTAACGAGAAGACCTCATATTAATCTCATCATGTATAATGAGTGGAAAATAATCAGTGAACAGAAATCCTTATGGAAGGGCATCTTAATTTATATTTGATATTGATAAATAATAATCAAAATCATGTAAATTAAGGCTATGTGTAAAAGAATGCTTTGTTTTATTAATTTGCCAAGAATTCTCTTTACATGCTGATTTACTCTGGTACATTTCTTTTACTTGAAAATTTTTTTTTAACTTTGGTGCATTTTAAATGTTACTATTTACATGCAGCTTTTAAGACACCTACCTGGTACTTAAAGTCTCTTACTATAAACAAGGTGCCGGAGGGATGTGGGGAGGGAGAATTAGGCAGCCATTTCCCTAAGAAATGCTGCTGTAATTCTGTAAAAAAGGAAACCTGCCGCAGAGCATTCTGTTTGCCTGTGGGGCGGTATTCAGCCAGCTGACACTAAAAAGACAGCACAGACTGGCCCCGCCCACTAACCACACTGAGACACAGTAACCCAAGGTCTTGAGTTTCTGGGCCGAGCTGACCAGCAAGACCGACCAGCCGGGCAACTGGCTGTGTCTACTTCTTAGGCAGTGGCTTAGCTCCTCCTGGAGAATGAGACCTCCGGGGCCTGGGGACTGACCAGCTCCTGCAGAAGAGACCAGCCTGGGCTAGAGAGTGCGCCCCAGGCTCCTGAACTCCTGGGTACCTCCCAAGGAGGCGAGTAGACAGAAGGCTCTGCTTGGAAAACATCTGTTTGCAACGCACAGATCCCTGGGGCTGAGAGGGGCACAGAGGGGCGTTCTTTGTGAGTACTCTCTCCTCTCCTCTGCCCCAAGAGAACACACTTGCTATGACCTATACTCTAAACCAGAAGGAACCAGGGCACACGGTCCTGGCTGCGGTGCCGGGCGCAGCCGGCCAATCGCACCTCCTTACCCTCGCCAGCCCTGCAGACCGCTGGAACTTACTCTTCATCGGTGATGGCCTCGTGGCAGCTGTCGCAGACCCTCACTTCAAACTCGAAGCCCATCAGAGGGATGGAGGAGCGCTTGGAGCTGCACTTGCCGCAGACGGCCTTCCCGCACTTGCGGCAGTGGTGCTGGAGGGACAGAGAACACATGCGCGTCACGGAGGCCCTGCTCCGCCTCCCTGGGCGGACTCGGGAGTGCTCGGGAGTGATCACCAGCTTTCAGGTGAGTGTGCAAAGCAAGACCGCGGCAGACACCAGAAAGGAACACACCAGGTGTGGTCTCCTTCTGCACTCTATTTATTCAGAATGAGGACTGCTGGGAAGCACGTCTGGGTGCCACCTCCCCGCTGCCCTCTTCCCCCATTCTTGGTCCTCTCTGGTTGTCATCGCTATGAACTCTAGAGGAACCATCCAGCAGCCAGGCTATCTTGGAGCTGGGGGCAACGAGGAAGTGCCATCTCTAAACATTTGGCTGCCTGAGAAGGTAGGACATGAGCGAACCCTGAATCAACTTGTCTCTGCTCTGGCCACGCTCAACCTGGGTGAGCGATAACACGAGCATGTGGCTTCCTAAGGGAGGAGCCATCCCAACCATGGAATCAGACTGCAAATGCTGTATTATAAGTAGATCTCAGTAACCAGAACTAAGACAGAAGGAGACCAAGTAAAATTATTAAGAAGAAGAAGGAACCCATTCTACAGCTGCATGCTTTGGGACCAACAGGAGCCAATAAGCACAATCCTGCTAACTTTAAGGTGTATCTCAATAGATGCCACTAGAATTCCAAAGTCAATCCCTGAACTAGGTACTGGGGACAAGTTACTACCAAAAGTGAATCCAGTAGGAAGGAGCTATGGTAGAAAATGGGAATAAATTATTGTGCAGTCACAAAGCAACTCCCTGATAATAATTTGCCCCTATTTCTTCTAAGACCACAAGGTGAAGCTACCGCCACACCATTACCATTTAAGGACGTGCCGCATCGCCCACCTGTCTTAGGCCAATTTTCCTGCTGTCCCACATTTGTTTGAAGTTCCAGAAGAAAGGCTGGTCGCACTTTTGGCAGGAATCGCTGTCCAACCACTCAGGGGTCTTGTCAAAGAAAGTACACGACAGGTCACAGTGAGAAGCAGGGAGGACAACAGAGCCAGTGACACCGACGAAACTTACAGAGTCGGGATAACGTTTATAAGAAATAGAAGCACAATTTCTCAACCATTTAAAATATACCCCCTGATGTCTATTGTGAGTCAGGCCCTGGGGAGGTTGCAATAAATAAAAAGAATCTCATGGAGAATCATCATGGAAGGTTAAACACGAAAATATCGTCACTAATAAATTAAGTGCAAGAGCAAAGACCTGAAAACAAACCCAGAGTCCTGAGGGCGCTCAGACCCAGGCGGCGGTTCAGGCGTGTTCCGGGAGAGCCGCGGCATTGTCAGCAGTCTTGGCAGCCACATCGAGGACTTAGGACGTATCTCATGTTCTGTGCTCATATGCAACTATGCTCTGCTTGTGTACAGCTGTGTCTAACTGCACATTACGCATACGCACAGCCACCCTTGTTGGAGGGACAGAACCTGACCACAGCGGGTGCTCAGCGATGCCACCTGTCCACTGCCTACTTGTGGCAGGGCCCAGCAGCGTCTGAGTCTCTGCTCCTTGCCTCACGGGTCACACCGTCTTCTGACTTTATTCACTATTTCCCAGCCCCACCACGAGTACTTTAAACTATGTCAAACAGATTTAAAAGCTGTGTTAGGCTTAAATCTATAGCAAATCTCTACAGATGACGCATATTTGCTCTACTTTTGCTTCTAGAATTCCGCGTTCATCTCTGTAAATCCATCACCTGGCAGAGGTGCCGACCCCTTTCCACGTGTCTGTCGCCAGACCCAGGAACCCTGAAAAAGAACCCCAATCCCAGCGCTTCCCAAAAGCGAATTCTGGGGAACTCCAAGTTGACTCTTACTCTCAAATTAGAGGCCTGAGGTCAAGCAAGCTTGTGAACTGTGGTCAACAAGAGCCTGCCCGCTTCCCCTCTGAAACCCAACTGACAAGTAGCAGGTACCAAAGGCCTGGAAGGCCTTGTTCTGCAATCCTGTTCGGAGGAAAACCTATTAAGGAACAGGTTTAGGGATTTAGCTTCTTCTCCTACCTTCAAGCAGAAGTAAACCCAAAACTAAACATGCTCTCAGGAAGAAAAGTAAAGAGGTGACATTTTAAGAGCTCTAATTCTTAGTTTATTTATCTTATTAAAACTGAACAAAAGAAGTAAGCTTTCATTTGCTTCATGTTCTAGTCAAAGACAGATTTAATGAAATAATACAAAGTTTTCAGCTAAAGACAACATTTTATCCCTGAAAGGTACATCTATGTTCTGGTTTTTCACAACAGTTCTGATGCAGGAAGATTTATCAGAAACTTCTAACACACACACGTGCACACACGCACTTTTTTTAATGTTACAAGGCAAGTTACATGCGTGTAATGTTACATGTGTGTTTAGGACATGTATCAAATGCACCATAGGGGGTGCCTATGAATGAGGGGGGACCTGGGAGGAAGGATCAGGAAAAGGAAAAAAAAAATCACCATGTGATGTGTAATATGATTCCATTTTTGTCAAAAAAAAAAAAAATCTTCCATATGGGTGTACGTAGGGAGGGATACTTGCCAGCCTGTTAAGGGTGACATTTCTGGGCATCATGCGTAGCTCGCATTCTACTCCTTAATGAGCACTCTGTACCTTTTCTACAAAGAACATTTATTACATATACTTGGAAAAAAATGGGTTTCATTAGCCCACAGGCCTCGCCTGCAGCCCTCCGCGCCTGCACACTGCCGCTCCCGAGCGCCCAGACGCCGCCGCCGACCCAGGCCCGAGCGCGTTCCGGCCCGTCCACCTCTCCGCACCGCCACGGCCTCCCACAAACTCTTCTCCGAGAGCGTCCGACGGCAACGGGAACGCCCCCTGCCCAGGGTCCAGCACTAGGGCCCCGCCCTGCAACTCCTGCGACGATTCACAGACGACGATTCACAGACGGCGTTTCATGGCCGCCTCGGAGGAAAGTCCGCCGGGGCTGCAGGGCAGGGCCGCGGCCGGGAGCGGCTCCCGGGTAAGTCTCAGGGGACCGCCGTTGACAGGACACTTGCCGAGAAGGGAGGGAACCATCTCCTCTGCCCACTCGGCGCCCCGGGTCACCCTACGAGGTCAAACCCCTCGGCCAGTGCCCGCGCTCACACGCCAGCGCCGACAGGCAGAGTTTCCGCGCGGGGCCGCGAGGGGCGCCCCCCAACCGCAGGGCCCTGTCCGTGCAGCGCGGAGGCGGTGCGGGCCCGCGAGTCGCCCCTCACCCCAAGACGTGCCCCTGCGGCATTCCGGTCACCCTGAGCTGTAGGCGACGGAGACGCTGCAGGCTCACCGTAAACCGTTACCTGTCTCTTAAGGAATTTAAATTCAGGACCTTGCCCGTTAGTTACCACCAAAAATCCCTGCTGTGACCTATCTGTCGGGAAGGGCAAACTTCGAGTTACTGCGCACCTGCTCTTCTTGCTGCCCTGCAGCGGCCCCCCGTCCCGCTGAAGCCCCGCGGGGTCCTTAGATTGAGCGCTGTTATCAACCCATGTCCCTTTCTGCCTGGGACCCGTTCGCTCGGGTGCGCAAGCGCTCCGCCCCCCTCGTCTGCGGAGTTCCCGCACGCACGTAGGTATTGCACCCGGTTATCTTCATCGGTTTCACGTCTATGTGAATGCCACACCGGCTGAAAGAACCCTAAGGGGACAAGAAAGCCTCCTCCTTCTCGACAGGGCACCGAGGGAAGGGCTCACGGGGCCTCTCCTGCCGCGGTCGGGACAGGCAGGCCAGGGCCGGAGCCAGGACAGATGGGGCGCGACCGTCCCTCACCTGCAGCGGGCCTCACGCCGAGTCACGGCCCAAGCGCGGGCAGCCTGGCCCGCACACGGTGCGTCGTTTCCCTGCCTTCCGACCGATGTCTCCTTTCAAACTCAATGTTCTAATATTTCCTACTTCCTAACAGTAATGATCATTTTAATTAGTTACTAATAGAACTCCCGTGGATTTATGCTTTGAGCAAATCAAGTTTTAATCTTCCTATGCATTTAATTACTGGCATTTGAAAGACATTACGTTGTGGGCAATACTCTCTTGAAATGATGTTGGGTGAGGGCAGAGAAAGAAGCTGGGAAGCTGGCTTTGTCTTTTTCAAGGGTTGCTTTTCTGAAATTAGAAAAACCTATACTGTTGGTGGAAAAGCTTACCACCATAATTCTAGGGAAATGAGAACGTAGTTACCTTCAATGTACTTGTCAAAGGGGATATTCAGTAAACACATCAGCTGTTAAGATGCTCAAAGGCGAAAAAGAAAACTCAAAGAATGTTACGGTATCATCGGATACCATATCTCACTCAGGAGCCACCATTTCTATCAATAACAAGAGTTTTCTGTTTTTGTAGGAAAGGGCTAATCAGCTGAAAATAGATGTTTCCTCTTTCTCACTTCAAGTTTTGTTTTGAATGTTGCAACACAGATTTAAAGTCTAAACAGCTTAATCTCAGTCTAAGTCCTTAAGAAATCTCCATTACATAAATGTTAAATGCTGATTTGTGAGGGGCAAAAAAGTTAGAAACTCCTTTTCCACCAGAATTTCTTATTCTCTGACACGTCTTATTCCACGGTTAATTATAGAAGAAAGAAGAAACGAGCAGGAGGGTGGCTGAGCTGTTTCCTGGCACGGCCCGAGGGGCAGAGCCCAGGCTGGTGACCATGCACCCACCTCCTGCCTCTCCACGTCCATGTTCCAAACGACAATGCCACCGTCACTGCCACAGGAGATGAGCTGCCGTGTGTGCTGCGCGTAGGAGAGGGCCTGGATCTTGTCACTGCGAAAGAAAACAAGGGTCAGCCTCGGCTCCGAGAGCCAGCGAAGGCCCCAAGGGAAGGACACCCAGCAGTTGATGAATAAGCATGCGCACCCCTGAGCCCTGAGCGCAGGTCTTAGGAATTCGCCGGAACTGTCAGCGTGCTGACTGTGCACAGGGTGCTGAGGCTTAACAGGCAAAATGCTTATCTCAGAGGCTGAGGCCCCAGGCAGAGATAATCTTTGTCCATGACCAACGCCTAAGGAGAAAAGCTGACTGTCAAATTGGTTATGACCTCCTACTGGTTCCTTCCCTGATTAAATTAGCTGTTCTGTCACGTGGTCAAGAGTCATGAGTTTCTGTATTTTTCCCTGAGAGGGGATTGAACCCGCAACCTTTCGGTGTAGGGATGACGCTCCAGCTGAGCTATCTGGCCAGGTCATGACACTCTCTTTTATGAAAGGTACCCTTTAAGAGTTTTGGAAGTCATCCATGGAGAGAGAAGCCCACTGGGCTCACCCGACAGACAGGTGCCGTTGCCCACAGTGTGACGACCAATGGGGAGCTGACCCCAGGCACGCCATTCCTTGGCTCCTGGAGTGACTCCAAACCAACAGGAGACTTGAGCGTCACCAGTTCTCTATTTCTCTAGTTTTTATTCCCTATTTACTGATTTGTATTTATTCTTCTTTCTAGTCCATGCATGGCTGACCAGTTATTCCCTCCTGGCGGAGAATTCAGATTTGGGGTCTGACAAGTGGATGATCACTAACAAAAGATTCTATAGAGATACATTTTCCATTGGGTGGGAAAGGAAAGGGACTCTGATTTCTCCGTCATTTTTGTTTGAATACTTTTCTATTTTGAACTCAAATCAATTAAGAATTCTGTACCCCCTGGGACGGAGAGCAGCTCTTTGAAATTTGGATTGGTGATGTTTTGTGTTTACTTTGACCATTGGCTGACGCTGTAGGACTGAAGCTGTTAAGCTCTATGTGTGCTTACAATTCAGCACGGCCTTCATCTTCTGTTGTGCATGGAACGCTTTCCTAGCTTTGGAGGGTATCAATAAATTAGATTATAGCACATTTTAAATGATAAAACTTGTTCTGTTTGGCTTTTAAAGATGAACAAATGCTTTTATAAACTGAATATTCCTAAACTTCTCAGAAAATAAGGAATTTGAACCCCTAACACCTTAAATTTACTAGACTTAAAAATTATTTTATAGAAAATATTAATTCAATAAAATTTTAAGACACCAAATTCATAAAATTAAGGGCATTCTTTGACAAATGAGACTAGTATGATAAGTTTTAAAACACAGCAGTGTCTTTCTCTGATCAGATGATTTCTCCTAAATTTATATAAGATAACGAGCCAAACTAACATTATGCCTGTATGTTTATAAAAAATATAAACTTGTGTTCAATTAAATTGCATATTTTTTCAGATAAACTTTTTATATAAATAGCAATTATTTTTTATAGCATTTCAACTTAGAGGTAATTCCCAAGATCTTCAAGTAACTTAGACTAACAAATTGAGGTAACCAACAGGTAATCACTGGATACTCACCTAGATCATTTCTAAGTTAGAATACCCAAAATTTGATTACAAAGCATATTGTTTATATATATTATATAAATGCTTCTTATTTTTATATTCTACAGACAGGCTATAAGTGAGTCATGTCAATGAACGGGTTAATTTTTGCACTTTAAGGGGATGAAAAAGTGATGTATGAGCCACAGTAGAAATTTATGTGTGCTTGTGAGCTCTGCTCGTCTGCTAAAACGCCTGTACACGATAGACAGTTCTTAATTCTCTATAGCCGCCCTCCTCCCCATTTTCTCTATGAAATATAGGTTAGTTCTTTGGTTAATTATTATAATTAAAATGGGTGGCTACGACTACGCCATGTTCAAATAAAAAAAATACAATTGCATATGCTCTATTTTTGGGGGGCGGGTGGTTATGAGTGGTAAATTTTATTCTACAATTTTTTAAATGTGTATTTTGTAGCAGCTGTATTAAGAAATGTGTGCTCATACGTAAACCGTACAACTGACAGCTGTTTCCACAAGCAAGGTTATGATGATTTATCACCCAAGAGGATTCTGTTGTGCTTTTGTAACCTCTCCCACCCCGTTTTCCCCAGGCCCTCCCTCAGGCAAACACTGTCAGCATAGATTAGTTTGCATTTCCTAGAGTTTCACATAAATAGAATAATACCATATATATATTTCTTAATATTAGGCTTCTTTTACTTAGTGTAACTAAGATTTGTTTTTCTGGTTGGGTGTATCGACAGTTTTTTGTTAAGTTTTTGTGAGCTGTATTTTATTATTTACTCATTCTTCAACTGATGGGTATTTGAGTTGTTCCCAGGTGGGAGTGATTACCAAAAAAACCCCACAAAACTATGTTCTCTGGAATACAAGAACTTGAATGGGCATGGGCATTTATTTCTCTTGGATAAATAGACGGGATGAATCCAGAAAGGCTGGATCGCATGGTAGGTGAGTTTAATTTTAGAGAGAATGCCAAACTGTCTTCCAAAGTGGGCTGTACGGTTTCCATGCCTGCCAATTGTGCAAGTTTTCACTCCTCCAAAACCTCACCAAAATTTGGTACGATTAGGCTTTTAAAGGTTAACTGTATAACATATGCACAGCAGCATTTGATTGCAGTTTTAATTTGCATTTTCATAATAACTAATGATGTTGAACATCTTGTCACGTGTTTCTTTGTATATGCACTTTCTGAAAGAAAAAGCAGCTTTGTCTTAAAGCAGTGGTTGTCAAACTTTTTGGTCTTGGGACCTTTTTACATTCTTAAAACTTATTTGAGGACACCAAAGAGCTGTTTAAATGAGTGATAACTATCAGTATTTATGGTATTTGAAACCAAAACTGAGACATTTAAAGATATTGGTTCATTTGAAAATAGCAATGATGAATCCATTCCATTTAAATAAAAATAACTACTTCCCAACAGAACACCCGATGGCAGGGACGGCACTGCTGAACATCGTTACAAGGCTTGCCCGCGTCTGGCTGAACAGGGGAGCGCCCGGTGCGCACCTCCTGCTGCAGGTGTTATGATGCTGCTTATCATGCAGCCTCGGAAAACAACCCTGCATACTCTTGAGAGTGTATGGATAAAAAAGACAATTCTAATATAAAGTATAAATTTTTTCCAGAATATGAGAGAAAATGAGCTATTTTATGTAACTCAGTAAGATATAGAAAACTGCTATTCCTGCAAATGGATCTTGTCCAGTGAAGATGCAACCAATCCCCACGCCCCGCCCCTCCCGTGGCAGTGGCCGGCCGGGACTCTGCTTGCGGTCATTTCTACGTCCTCCATTGCCTAGGAACGTCATCTCCGCTGGATTTTCCTTGGAACTGGTTGTAACATTTTACTATTTCCTGCATGAATTACTGAGTAATATAAAATCTTTGAAATATAGTCATTAAAAAAAAATCAATTGTTTTCAGTCTGTCCAGTTAGTTATTCCTTAATTTCAAAGTCTGGGGTGCCACCTTTCCAACATTCAGGCACAAGAAGGAAGATCTATCCAGTTGAACAGACTCATACCCCTGTGATCCGAATGGCATTTCGTTTGTTAAGTATCCTGATGCACATCAATGATCTTGTAAAACCGAAATAAGCTCCAGAAGGAACTGCACTGCCACTCGGAGCTGGCAGCAGTCGACAACAAACGTGTAATTTATGGGACTCCAGTACTGTTAACATTCCAGCACAGAAGACGGAACAGTGATGAACACTGGATTCCAAGCTTTGCAAGGAAGCTGCTCAGGACTCCCTGATTTAAGGATTCACAATACAACCCACCCTGCAGTTAAAAAGGCGAGAGAACATGGCCAGGTTCACAGATTAAGGGCTTTAGAGAATAAAGGATACCTTCTTCTTGCAGTCCTGTTTCACCTGACATCACTGTAGCATTTACACTAGAAAGCATTTCAAAACTGGTCACTATCCACGGCCGAGTGCTCCGCGCAGGGATATGCGAACGGCTGCAGGGCCGCGTGAAGCCCACTCTGAGAGCCGGCAGGGCCGCGGCACAGACCGGGACGGCGTCCTCCCCTTCTCAGCAGCCCTAGACGAACATGCGTCTGATGATCAGGCCCAGCTACACGATTTGGGGAGGGGGGCAGCCCAATGCAAAATGAAAATACAGGGCGCTCTGTTAAAAATTAGTTAAGAGTCACGTGACGGTGACAGCAGCACAGGAGACCGAGTGTGCGGGGCTGCGAAGCAGGGGGCCCTGTGCGACCGACCGCACAGGTCGTGGGCCCGTGAAGCCGGGCCGTGTCTGACGCTTCTTCAGGGAAACGGGAAGTGAAGCCATTATCCTCTTTACAGAAACAGATTTTCAGGCAAAGACTAACATCTGCCCAAATGTCAACGTAGCTCCTCTTTCATCCCCTACTAGCGGGGGAACTTAAACGTATAGCATGTTTCATTTCTTTGATGCCAAATCCTAGGTTACTTGGGGAATATCTAATCTTGGTTTTTTATATTCAGAACTCTCATATTCGTAAGTTCCAAACCTCAAAGGAACAGAGAGGCTTGTGGGCTCCCAGATGACCGCTCCCGAGGGTCATCCCGCACCAGAGAGCTCGCCAGGAATCCCTGGACCACAGCCAGCCCGAATCTGCACGCAGGGCCCCTGTCTGGGAACGCTGAGCATCAGCAACATCCCGTTGTTTAGGGGCCAGGCTGGAAGTTCAGACCAGCCACTGCCCCGCTGTCCACTTTCAACTTCCTGGAAACACTATTTAGTTCATGCAGGCCTGTCTTACGCCACCTCCTGACCCCGAGGACCACGGGAAACTATCTCCTGGGCTCCAAATCAAGAACGACTCTCCCACTGAGGCCTCTCACTTTCCAGGAAAACTGACAAACTGCCCTGCCTTCACCTTCCTCTCATACTTCTAGCACAGCTCCATAGCGGCAGGGACTATTTTCTCAGTCACCTTAGTGTCCCAGGTGCCCAGCACAATCTAGTCTGTAGAGAGAGCTCGGTAAACATTTGTTGAATATGTTATGGGTAGAGGGAGTGGGTGTGTGTGGCAGCGTTTCCATGGAAATGCTAGAGTCAGAGGGAAACTGTAACCAGATCCAAAACTGTACGACGGAGTACTACTCAGCTGTAAGAAAAGGCAAAATACGGCCATTGTGACAACGTGGATGGACCTTGAGAATACTATGCTAAGTGACACAGAGAAAGCTAAGAACCACATGATTTCACTCATCTGTAGGCATAGGACTGAAACCTGTGGACACAGCCAGCAGCGTGGTGGTTCCCAGGGAGGGGGGTATGGGGGGGGCCTCACATGGTGACGGCGATGGTCTGACTGTGGGTGGTGGGCACGCGGGGCTCAGTATACAGACCTCAGTCACAGGGGTCGCCACCCGAAACCTATTAACCAGTGTCACCCCGATAAATACAATAAAAATAAAAAACGTTTTTGAAGAATTGTGATTTTTATTAACAAGAATCATTTTAACTGCCACTTATTAGCCTTACTCTCGTGATTATTTGACACATACTGCATCGTGTTTGTTTCTTGACAACAGCTGCAGGTTTTCTTTCCGGCACTACCCTCCCGGCAGAGGCGAGAAGATGGAGGACCAGTGAGAGGGGCTGCCGCGCCGCTGGCAGAGGCTGGGCTGGTGGCCGCTCCCTGGCCCTTTTTGTAAGATTCTACCCTCTATGAGAACTGTAGTTTCTAATGCTTTTATTTATTTTGTCTTTAGCTAAGTATTTAAAAATAGGAAAGACCTTCCTTCCCCTCTGTCCTAACAGTTCTTTAGTGCCACAGTGACAAGCCCTCCTGTATCTCAGATTCGACAGGAGAGCCTTTGTACCTCACGACCCTTGCCCTCCTCTGCCAAACGCAGACGAAGCTGTGCGGGAGACCTGTACGCGGAGGCAGCCGGGGGCGGGAGGGGCTTGATGGAGTGGGCAAAGCGGGGAGAGGGGGACATCTGTAATAGTGTCAATATTAGAAGTGGAAAATAAAAGTTAAAAAAATTCGCTCACTTCCTTTTATAACTTTACATACAATTTACTTGATAGAAGACAGAGAAACACAACTTCTATGTATATGTACGAACAGCCTATTTATTCACCAAAAGGCTTTGAGGAGGCTTATAACAAAAGTCACACACATGGTAAGACCAGGAAGAGAGGACACAGAGCTGGGGCGGTGACAGCAGGGAGCAAGCACCCAGGCCAAGTGTGCCAAGGGTCATGGCCGTGAGCAGGCCTCGGGCAACCGGCACGTCCCAAGGAGGGACCATTAAATTAAATGGCCAGAGAGTCTCAGAAGCCCAGGGGAACACTGTTATAAGAAAAATTAGAGTCATAAAGTTGGTCATGCAGTGACAGATATTATCTGAGACTAAGAAAGGACCTACAAGCCCAAGCACCGTAACTGGATTTAGCAAGTGGGCACGGGACAATAAACGTCCAGGCTCGCGCTTCGATAATGCCCACCCAACCGGTAACTGGCTCCTGACAGGCACAGCTGGTCCTTGGAACTGAACCTCTGCTTTGACTTTCCCTTCACAGGACCAGCAGCAAGCATGTTCCCTTTGCCGCAGGGAACAGGACTACCGAAAGCTCCCAGTGCAGGAAAGAGCAGGATTGAACCACACCTTCTCCACTTTTCTCTCCTTGGACTCGGATACAGTTTTGCTATCGCCAATCACACCAGTGCTAAAGCTCTCTCTGCTTTGAAGGGACTTTTACCCACAAAGTCAAACCGGTCACCAGATGCTGCTGAAGGAGGCCTGAAGCGGCACAGCCCGGGACAGACACCGCGAGCGCTGTTCCCCTGCCCCGGGGCTGGGTGCTGCCAGAGGCGGCGAAGGCCGCCCCCCACCCTGAGGGGCGGGAGCTCGGTCTTGCCTGCCCCCCCCACCCCCCCCCCCCCCCCCCCCGTCCCCAGCTCACCAGTTTGGTCTCTGATTTGGAGATCTGCCTACCATTAGCCACACTGGGGAAGGTGGGAAAGTGAGTCAGCGCAGTAGGAGAGCAGGAGGGGCAGCCTCAGGCCTCAAGCGAGCCTCTTTGGCCTCTGAAGTCGAAACAAGGCAGAAAACATCTCCGGGCATGGTGGGGGCCACGTGTTACTCAGTCTCCATAGACCAGTGCTGGATACAAAGAAGCTTCTAGATAGCTTTCTTAGTTTGAACTGCAGGAAGCTTTGGGAGACTTCTTCCGCTATTAGCCAGAGTCTGAGGACGGCAGCTCAGTTTTCTCACCTGAATCACGGCATCTGGCTGCTGCCTTTCCAAGGGTATTGTAAGATGAAACTGAGGGGGCTGTGTGTGCTGAAAGCTCTTCCTGGAATAGGAGGCCGATACAACAGTCGCGGAGATGGACCAGCAGCCGGCTCCGGGGCCGAAGGCTGGGCAGCTGGGAGAGCAGGCCTGGGGCATCTCCCGCCCGGCTGGTGCCCTTGCCCCTCCCCCGCGCCTTCCTTATCAACCCCACCCTCCTGCCCCCGGCTGTCCCGGGGCTTCCCGGCCCCACCTCAGGCACTCCGACCCACTCCGACAGGTCACACAACTGACGCAGAAGGCCTTTACACCCCCAGCTCCCTGACGCCAGGGCCACGCTAGCAGGCGAAGACCGGAGGACCCCTGTTCTCTTTGTTATTCGGCGGGAGTCACATCGAGCACCAGGCCAGGCCGTCCACCACTACTCCCGTGGAAGGCCAGTGCTGGCCGGGGGCTCGGCCCCACTAAGGCCGAAGGGCGTGACGCTCTCCGGATCAACTCCAAGTACCGTCTGTTCCATTTTCTAAACGACCAACTCTGTATTTCTTACTTAGACCCTGGAAGACCTACTGGTTTAGGTGTCCTTTTTCTGGGACCGAGCGGCTGTATCTAGAGTTTACAGCTTTGCTTGTACCAGACAACATCTTCCATGAGACACTCAGCTGGTGTGGAGCACGGTGCTGCCTGCCCCCCGCCCCGCGCCCACCCATGGGCGGTCACGCAACTGCTTGTGGTGTTTGTCCACCACTGTGTGAAACGAAGCTGCTTATAACCTCCTGGGAGTCAGTCCAACGTTCAAAACCTGCCTTTCATTTCTCTGAGAGCGCCCAGGGCGATGGGATTAGATAAGGACCAGGTTAGAGAATGACCGAGTGTATTAAACGGGACTGTGTTCGGCTTCTCTTTCTGCCCTTAACAGGGACGATGTCAACCCCTTCTACACACACGTCACCTTGTTATGGAAAGAAGTATCAGGGAGTGATTCCTCCAAGGAGTCAATGATAAGGTTCAGGTGGCCCCAGAAGTGAGCTGTGGCCAAACAACTGGTCTGTTCTCTCATGTGGGAAACGAGGGCTTAGTAGCCACATGTCTAAAACCAGACTCTAACTCTAAAATAATCATTTGTGCATGGGCCCTCTGAAACTGAATTAGTTCGATAATCCTACACTGTAGCTTTAACTACCTAGGGGGCTCTTTTAAAACGAGCGTTTCCAGGCAGATTTACCCGTAGAGCTAATGGGGCTTAAAACCAGCAGTTCACGGCGCATTCCTGACCACTGCGGAGGGCGCCCTGGAGCTGCTCTTGTTAGCGTTTTGAAAGCTTCTCAAGTTGAAAACAGTTCAGAGTTCTACAGCAGATCTGAAATTCTTTCCCGCAATTGGACCCGACTGCCTCCAGGGACTGTGGGCAGCACCGAGTAGGATAAATCCCAGTGTGGTCTGAGCTTCACCAGCAGGGAGCCGCTGGGGGCAGGGATGGGGGGGAAGGGGGGCTTGTCACCAGACACATGCCCCAGCTCCAGACCGGTGACCCGCGTCTCCAAAGACAGGGCCCAGGAATCCACTTTAAGTAGATTCCTCGGGGACTCTCTGTGCACAGCAAGTTTGACAGCTGCTCCAAGGAGACAACAAGCCTTCTCTGCTTTTGCTCTCAGCCCCCTGAACTCTGTCCTGAGGAAGAAGAGCCTGATAGGCATCGAGGCGGGTACTCAATAAAAACTTGGTGCAGGACAAAACGTGCTGCGTAGGGAAGAGTATTATCTCTCCCCTTTTCCTTCAGCTGTCAGGAATCTCGAAACCACGTTTGACCTCAACCACAGAAATTCTGTAACCCCTCATGGCTTATACTTTCAAGCCCTTTTGCTTTCGCTCTCAAATTTTTACTCTTATATTCTCCCTGGTTCTAATTTTTATCTTTTATTTATTTGCTGCCATTGTTTTCTTTTATGGTCCTTGCAGACAAGGACTCACAAATCCTCTGTGGAATAAAATGGGGTATAAATAAACATAGTTATATGCAGATACAAATCAAAGTGGCCATTATTTGCTTCCCTGCCATGTTCCTTCCCATGCTAACATCCTGCCACGGAGACTGGCCCACACTCCTTTGTCCCAGCGTTCAGCTGCGAATCTTTTCTCAAGAGTTCTTTATAAAGCACCAGTGGTCTTACTTGTGTCCTTGGAGCTCGATGGCGGTTCCTTTTCTCCCACCGATGTCCCACATGATTACAGAGTGATCGGAGCTGCCTGAGAACAAAACTCGCTGGACGGGGTCCCAGCAGAGAGCAGTCACCCCACCTGTGAGACCGGACAGAGCTGAACGTTAGCCACAGAGCAACAGGATTGTTCACCAATGAAATGCGAATGCAAACGAGTTAGGATCCAGTGCAGTTTCTGGCATACAATAACGTTTTTGTTGAAAGAACAAATAATAAGTCCCCAAAGAGAAAAAAATTGGCTCTGAGAATAAGAGTTCCACACTTTAAAGCACTTTTTCCCCAAATTTAAATGTACCATAAAATCAATTACTATAAAGACCAACGAGAAATTGGAAAGACAATTAACTGATCTTTAAGCAATAGACATAATTCTCAGAAGTATGGAAAATACTGTGCTGCTTGGAAATATTAGCCACCTTTTTTTTTTTTTTAACCGCAGTCTACCTCCTACCCAGACAAGAATAGGTGAGAAGTTTATAGGGTTTTAAAAAGCTCAATTAGATTTTGTAATCATGAACATCAGCAATAATTAGACTGAGATATCAGAATTTAAAATTTATTTCCTCTCTTTGGAAATTTAACTTTACAGATTCAGGGCAAACCAGGAAAAAAGGGGATGCCGCTGAGATGGCCGCGACCGCGGCCGACAGTACCGGCCTGGCCAGTTCCCGCGTCGCCTGCCTGGGCCCCTTACGGGGCCCCGCCGTGCCCTGCGCAGTACAGACGCTGGTTGTTAGCATCACTCCAGCGGTGTGGCTATAGCATGTAATGCAGAGTGTCTTCTCTGGCCATACGCTGAAGCCCACAAACACTTAACAATGTGAAAAGCACTCATTTTTTTGACATTTATTGAAAAAGAGTAAAATTTAAAGTTCTTTAAAAAAAAAAAAGACAGTATATTCTGAAAAGAACATAAAATAGCTTCTTTTCTATTGGAATCTGATGTTTTAGGTTATAAATTTGTTCTAATAAAGTGCTTCACTTTAAAAGCTTTTAGGAAAGTTTCTCTTACATAATTGTGCGAGATGATTTCTTTTTCAAGATCAAAAGGAAAAAACCCTCCACTATTCTGAATTTTGCTTAATAGTGTCTTCCCATACCTGCACAACATTCTGCTTGTATTTAATATATAGTTCTGTCTGTGTAATTATCTCCTTTTCCCTCACCACTTCCTGTCCCTCCACCCCCACTTACATATACACACAGAGACACACACGTAGACAGACACGCCACAGGACCAAGCACAGAGCCAGCAGCAGACAGGCCCTAGTATTGTCTGCTGAATGAATGAACAAGCAGATGAATGAAAACACAAAAGTCATTTTTTTTAATCCATAAATCTTATTTGGAACTCCTCCATGATGCTTACTTGGTTAGCCTTTCAGTGCTAACTATTTCCTTCTTCTGCAGAACTCCTCTTTTTCCCTGCTATTAAACTCCATGGTTATACTTAACAAAACAAAACAAAAAACCACCCTTCAGTAGCTGGCCACATACTAGTTGAGGATATGCATTCCGTTCTGCGAAACACGTTATTAATTTCCAGACAGTACCCGAATGGCGTCTTTTGTTAGACACCCGAGGCAGAGCCACCTCACTGTCCATCTGACTGCACGGCTGCTTCCAAGAGCACAGCTGCTGTTCTACCAGGACCACGCTCCCCGGGCCCTCTGGCATCTAGGGCACATGTGGCCAGTGCTCAGGAGGCAGCCCAGGAAGTACGTGGGAGTACCAATAATTTGCATCTCTTCAGGCCCAGGCCGGTAAGATGTCCCCTTCCCACTTCCTCCTTGTGGACGCCAAGACTGCAGGGGCTGGCGAAGCTGCACTGCAGAGGGAGCCTGGGGCCCCGGGTCACCACACGGGAAGGGCCGGAGGTTAGCGGCCCCGACACGGGACTGATCCATGAGCGAAAAACCAACTGCTGCTGCGTCAAGGCCCGGAAATGCTGACAAGTACTTGGTGGGGCAGTGAGCTTTACCTGGTACAAGGCCATGTACATTTTGGACTATTATAATAAGGCTGGCCCAAGAGGAAGGTGAGAGTCACCAAGAGCTTCATAAATGTCATACGAATGAAAAGAAGTTACTAGTTTAGACCATTAATATGGATGTCCAGTATTTAAACAGAATTTAGCCTCCGAAGCAATCCATCATAAACTCTGAATGGGTTTTTCCTCCAAAATGCATCTTGACTTGGAGCACTTCGTACCGCCTCTACTGCTATCTGGGTATGAGCCACTGTCATACAAGGAAAAGTAAGAAGTACGACACACATTTTGCTGTAAAGGCTGTGGACGAGAACGACTCTCTCACACGCTGCTGCTGAGCATGCAAATCAGCCAGGTCGGGCAGGTCACGCCTAACAAAACGACGTGTGCATTCAGCTTATCACCCTGCGATCTCACGTCTAGGAGTTTGTCTTGAAGGCTCTACTGTCCCCACTGCCACCAAATAATACAGAAAATACACATGCACAAGGCTTTTCATTTCAGCATTGTTTGAAATAGCTAAACACTGCGAACAACCTCAGTGCTCCTGCAAGAGAGCGGGTGCATAAACCACGATGCGTTCGCAGAGCGCTGTGCAGCTGTGAAGGGGGATGAGCGGCTCTCGGACGGACAGAAAGTGACTTCCAGGATGGACTGTAAAGTGGAAAAGACAAAGTGTAAAAGAATTATTTACAGTATGCCACCTTTTATCTAAGAAACTAAGGGTGAATGAGAAGTGGAAGAGATTCGTTGACAGCAGGTTTCGGGGAAAGGCAGGGAAGAAGGGAGGAAGGAGAGCGACACTTCTCGCAGCAGGTTTTTGTTTGGCTCTGAGTGTGTTTCACATTCTCATAAACAAGTAACTAATTACAATCAGTGAGTGTGCGTGCACACGCGCGTGCGGTGGACCCACAATGGAATATAAGTAGGAACAAATGAACCCGGCCACATTACAAGTGAAGGGTATACCCCCACGAATGTGGGGTACGGGAGAAGTGAGGAAAGTAACTTTGGGAAATGTTAATAAGCTAAATATAAAAAGATTTGTACACAAAAATAGCACTCTAGTTAGTAGGTTTGTATTTCACATGTGGCAGGAGAGTAAAACGCTGGGAAAATTCCTGGGCAAGTGGAATGGGGCAACTGAGAAGAAAATTAAACAAGGCCAAACAATCTGAACAATTTAACAGCCAGCTGGTAAATCGCAAGACCTTATCTTCCCCAACTAAGGACACTTGACAGTAAATGGTTTACAACTCTCCTCCCTGACCAGGGAATACATAGCTCAAATCTCCCTGGTCTGGGAAAATAGAGAACAGAGACCCAATTAATGCCACTTGTGCCAGCTAAACCCAAGGACAGATGAAGTCAGGGGAACAAGTAACAAACACCCCTTAGAGCCAGACAGACCCAAGATAAAAGTAAAACTGTACAGCAGACCAGAGACTGAGCCCAAACTCCCCTCTATGCTCATTTTGACACATCAGCATATTAAAGAGGCAGCTGGAAAGCTGACGGACATTCTGCTGAGACCCTCCCCTAAGATTCTTGCCTGCAGGAAAAAAACCCTCTCAAAACAAAGACCGGGTGGGACCTCGCTCTAGAGCAGCCCACGCTCCTTCTCAGGCAAGAACTTCTTACCTCCTCCTAGACTGGGGGTCCCCAGGAGAACTGCAGCTGGGGAGCAGGGGGCAGCGGCGGCCTGTCCCCGGCTGACCCCCCGATCCTGTCTCCAGGGTCCCCTCTTCTCTGACTTCCCAGGGAGCTCACGGCAGCCCCGCCCTGGCTCACTCCTTTCCTAGAATGTTTGTAGGGAGCCAAAGCAGAGCACCGCCTGGCCTCGCTCCTGTTGCTTCTTCCACCCTAAGTCCCTCCTTTGTCTCACTGTCCCCAGCTTTAATAAATGCACTCTCAGAACCACCTGGACTCGTGTTGTGACATCGTCCCTACATGGAGTCAAGAACCCACACTTGACAGGCCCGCCTGAGGCAGACCCGCTCTGGGTCGGTCCCTGTCTGGTAACAACAGGGCTATGTGTTAGATAGGTTAACAATTCTTAAACTATTCAATGTGTATTCTAGGATTAACTGAATGAATACATTGAGGATAATGAGAGCTGAGTTTCTTACTATTATAATAGGAGTTACAAATAAAAGGGGGAAGGTCAGAATGATCTCTCTGGTGTAGACTAGAATTGGACTTACCAGTACAAAAGTCACACACAAAAAAACCAAACCCAGAAATAGTTACAGCTGTGTGAGTACACATATATTTTTTAGCTGTCTACTGAGAGGGCCTAGAAGCAATGACACCTCATTACCAATGAGAACATACAGCACCCAGATTTTGGCTTCTAAATACTCTTCACTAATAGAAGGAACAAGGGCTGTTTGGATGGCTGATGCTAGGACTGAGGCAAGCAGTGTACAAGCTGAGTGGGGAACATCACGTGGTACCAAAAACTAAGGCGTGCTCAAAAAATGATGGAGACAAGTGAAAAAGGACACAGGAGTCAATGTGAAGGGGTTCCCAATGGCCAAATTTGGGACGATTTGAGCAACAAGATAAATAAATGACAGTAGAGGGTCCTCGCACATAGAAATTAAAAGAACTTGTCAGCCTATTCCAGTATAAACAATTGAATAAATAAATAGGGAAGAAGAATTAAGTTTTTCCTTATGGTAAAATTCCAACTAAAAAGTGTAGAAGGAATGATAATAGAAAAAAACACAACTTGGCAATCACCACAGTCATACGTGTTTCTGGTAAGAATCATCAATGAATACTAAAATTATTGGGTGAACATATAAAAAGAAACGGAATATTCACATAGACTCAAAGTGTTTCCTTATAAAATACTTACAAATTCCAAAGGGTGATCAAAGTGGAGAAACCTGCAGACTCGCACCCTAACCAAGTGATCAAAGTTAACATCACCAGCAACGGGAAATCAGCAGCATGCGCACCCTGCTATGACGCACTCCATAAAAAGCACCATCTGAATTTAACTACAAGGAAATAGCAAACAAACTCAAATGAAGGGACATTCTACAAGGGAGGGATATTCTGGCTAGCATTCAAAAATGCCA